GGGAAAAAAAACGACGGAATTAATTAAAAAACATTGATTTTCACCCCGATTATCTATTAACATATAGAGATGTTATAAGATGTTTATAGGCTAAGCTTTTATAGCACTTTTTTTGGCCATGGAGATTTTTTAACATCATTTTTTGGGAGATAATAATTCTCTTAAGTTTTCAGTTATATTTACAACTAACTCCCGATTTAGGTAATGTACAAATATATTTTCTAAAATGTTAAATTATGTTAATAAATAATGAATTAATTAATTAATGATAAGAGGGTTAATTGTAAAAATTCAAAATTTTAAAAAAGTTCAAGCAGCTTTATGTACAGTTTAGAAGGTTCAAAACCTCAGACGATTTTGTCAATTGTGCAAAAAGGTAAAACAGCGTGGATACGAATTATTGAGGCCAAATTAATTTGATATGTGACAGGAAAGCTCTACTGCCTCTACACATGACTAGAAGACGAAGCCCACATCGGAATCGTTTAACAAGTCAAAACTCTAAATTAAGAATCAAAACCTCACGTGTTCCCATTTTTTCTTTTTCTTGAGATCACACATGAACCAAGATTAATATTTCATAAACCTGTTCATTATTCACTGAATCCAAACAAAAAGGAAAGAGAAAAAAAGGGTTACATTTACATCTCTATGTATTCACTTATAATAAATGGAATGGTTCAATGAGGACATGACATGATTAGTTGTAATCAACAATAATGTGAATAAGCCGTCAAGTGTCACTTCATTAATAAAGAAAATTAAAGTTGTCAACCAAAAAAAAAAAAAAAAAGTTAACACAAACTTTAAGCAAAAATAATAAATTTGTATTCTTTTAATTCTATTTATAAGATTCTTTTAATATATTTTACACATATTAAGAAAAATTTTAAGCAGCGTTAACTTTTCTTTAAAATATAATAAATTTTTAACTTTATTTTTATTTAATATATACATTTTTAAAAAATAATTATCTACACTATAATAAATAAAAAACAAAATAGTATATTTATACTAAAAGTTAAGTGAGTTGACTTATAAATAGGATAAAAAATTTTCTTTTCTTATCTTATAAATAAATCCGAGGAGTACATAGAACATGATAATTAATGAAGTTATTGTTGTGATTTTGTGAAAGCTTTTGTGGTCGTTTGCCTTCTTTTTCAACAACTAAACAGCGTGTTTATATTCTGAGTATATTCTTTGACTCAATTTATTGCGCTGCGGCTTCATAATTAAATTATATGCCCACAAAGTTTAATTATGTATTAATTATCTATTTATTATAACAACAGTCTTATTCTGTCACTCTCAAACTAGAACACATGTGTATACCTACTGTACCTAATAAATTAATTACCGTGGACATCACCGACGATGAAGCCATATTTTCGAGAGCATTTCGTCCCATGTTCTATGATATTTAATACATTAAAATAGATAACTAATAATTTATATATATTAGAAAAATAATTAAATAATTTATTTATAATAAATATATGTTGGTTTTCTCATAATACCCGTTCTTTAGAATATGAAATGAATAGGATTGTTTGGGAAAATAATCTTAAATTTGTGAGACAATATAAAATAAATTAAAGGCTTAAGAGAATGTGGGGCGTGTACCTTATTTATTTATTCATCTTCGTTCCAGATGATGGTGAGGATGTGCAGTGAATTTATCTAAAATGATGGTAAAGAAATTAAATATGTGGTTACCAATAGATCAAAGGATATTAATTTTTTTTTTCTAAGTGCCATCCAGTTTTTTAAAAGGGCAATACTCACATCAAATTTTTTATACTTATTATGTCGAATTCTCCTATTATATATGGCCATGTGTTCTATTTTTAAAATATTATAATTTAATTATAAACTCACATCAGAAAAAAAATAAATATACTTAGTCATATGTAACTGAAAAATTGGACATAATAGATACAAGGGATTTGATCTCTTTTGAAAATCATATTGGCCTCAGCTGAAAAAATAATACAATAAATTTAATGCTGCATTATATTGTTCCTAGAACTATAAAGTTTTTTTTTTTTCCAAATTCATCCCTGACATTAATTATAGTAGATCCTTGTGAAACGAGTCTAACAATTGCTGCAATGGCTAAAGTAAAAGTTGTTATCTCCATTAAATTATCAGAGAAAAAGCAATGACGATCACATTGCTGTTGCTTTGTTGGTTTACAAGTTCTAATTCACACTTTGAATTTAATGCATTTTAAATTCGTGCGGAAATTAATTAATCCTAAGTCCATAATTTAAGTGTTAAATAATGAAGATAAGTATATCACTTATAATATGCCGATCATAAATAAGTTAACGATTAATTTACTGTTAGATGCATTCTTGCTTTTCAAGGAAAATTCTGATTAAGTGGAACTAAAATTTAGATTGAGATTATAGGAATTGAGATGCATACTTTAATAATGAAAATATTAAAAATAATTACTTAGTTATAGTAAAAAAAAAAAGGCAAAGGAAATTCAAAAAATTGAAATTGCATAAAATAATGGCAAACACGTGACACCTGACATATCTGTCGTTGTCGTCCAATTGGTCCCGCTTTCATTCTTTTTCTAATCAGTTTAGAACACGCACGTTAATCCCTACCTAATTACCAATATAAAATAGCTATGCTTTGAAATTCCGAAAAGCAAAAAAAAAAAAAAATCTTTTTATGATTTATATAAAGCTTCATGTCATGCGCAAAAAATTCGTTTAATGTGGGTCAATATATATATATATAAAACTGGGGGAAATGAGCCTCTTTTTTTTTATTTGTGAGTCGGATATAACTCCCTCCCTCAAATAAAAGCAAGCCACACAATTTAAAAGATATTTATAAAAATTATACAAATAAAAATTTCACATTAACAGTACTATAATTTAGATCCATGATACTCTATTACTCTCTAATATATGCTCCCTCGCGACCAGCAACATGTTATCTGAATGCTGGAAACGCATCAAAATAAATTTTGAAATGGCATTTAAGGTGAAGGCAAAAAAAAAAAAAAAAAGAAAGCACGTGTAAAGAAAATGACTAATCTTCATTTCCAGAAAAAAACCAAAATTTGAGATTTTTTCCCCCAAAAGACATGGTCAAAAATGTCTTATCAGAAAAGTAATCGTACAAATGTATGTAAAGGCCCAGGTCTCGGAGCCAGTCCACTTTACGTTTAGTTATATGCAACATATATCTAATTACGTGCAAATGCCTTTTTATTATGCACACAATTCAAATTAGATTGCAAGCAGTTGAAAAATAATCACACTGCTAATGTGATGATAGGTTGCAATTTAGTCATTAAGCAAATTTCAGATCCGTTATAAACATGACTAACAGACATCAATGATCTCTTCTTCTTCTTCTTTTTTTATAACTCAAAATATTTTCAAATCACTTTAAAGTTGAGACTAATTTTTGTCAGGTCAGGAGTGTTAAGATTAACATTCTCTCAATAAGTGTGTTTTTCAGGATTTAAAATTGTGTTTTCTTTCTTACAGAGTAAAACCGCTTATGATATAGCTTATTGGCCACCAATGCTCTGATTTGTCTTTGTAACAAATAGATCTTTCAGTTCATAGAGACGTAATTTTTTTACTTATAATGGATGCTATAATAATAATTTTTGAAAAAATATTAGTCATTTATTGTGACTTATCCATGAATTCATCTGGCTGCTACACATGACCAAATTGAATTTGCTTCCATAAAATCTTTTTATTGTGAATTTCTTGAAATTTTTGAAAATAGATAAAAAAAATTATATGGTAAAAAAACTGTAGATATGTTTAATTAAGAGCAACGAGCTGAGAGCTTCTACCACTTGCACATACTTCATGTCATGTATCTATATTTGATACAAAGAGATACAACTATATATGCAAAATAATGTCACCGTGTTTATATATACACGTCTAATTATTGATGCCCTTATCATTTATATCTCTCTTTCAATTATTTGTATTTTTAGGGTGTTGCATATATATGAGTGGCCGCCAAAAATCTGACTCTCGCCAGCAACTTATTTGTATATCTATTTGCATACAGAGACCTTTCAATTCATAGACGTGAATTTAGGCTTTGTGGATAATCCTATGATTCAGATAGGTAAGACGAAAATTGAAAAAAAAAAAAAACGGAAAGTTAGTGATGAGGATCTATTCATTAAAGTTGATCAATATATAAAACAAGATATGTAGAGAGAGAGAGAGAGAGAGAGAGTGGCGTAGATCAGGAAGCAGCCTCTGAAATTTCCAGAAAAACGTGAAGCAAAAACATGAAGAAGCGGCCGTGGTGTCATGTATTACGTCTAGTCTTTAATACAAGGTTTTGTTTCACTTTTATTTTGATCTTAATTATAAGATTCCAATCCATTTTATCTCTCATATTTATGTATTCTTTTCCAAGATAGTCTCTCTAATAATAGTAGTTCTAGTCAATAAACTTAATTAGTAATGATATTTTAAGAAAGACAACACCTATTTATTACAAATAATTAATTTAATTTATTTCTTTAATCTCTTCAAATTAGTCAACTAACTCTTATAATTAGGACCGGAAGTAGTACATACATAAAAAAAATATATATATATATGAGGACGATATGCCTACAAAAATTAAAAAAGGGCAAAAAAAAAAAAAACCACAGCAAGACGAGTGAAGACGTGTTTGAAGGAGTGAGAAATACGAACAGTTCTAAAGAGAGAAACGAAGCAGAGAAAGAAAGAAAAGAAAAGTAGTCAATAAATTCAAACCTTTTTACTCTTTTTGTCCTTCGACTTTGGCTCTTCGTAATTTCCCCTCCAGACTTCCATCCTCCATTTTCAAACCTCTCTCCCTTTATAAACACCTCCCTCCCTCCCACGTCTCTCTACCTTCCCTCTTCGTTCACGGCATACTATACGCACAACAACAACAAGTCACAACACACCTCACATCATCGTCTTCTTCAATTCATACAATCCCTTCTGCCAAAAGCCATGCAGCGTCTTCCCGCCAAGCTCTGCCGCAACGTCGTACGCCCCGCCTGCGACGTCTTCATCAACCACCGTGGCATCGACACCAAGAAGAACGTCGCCGGTTTGATCTACCACCACCTCTCCGGCATGGGTGTCCGGTCGTTCCTCGATAGTATGAATATGAAGCCCGGCGACCGGCTCTTTGATCATATTGACAGGGCCATTCGCGGTTGCAAGGTCGGCGTCGCCGTCTTCAGCCCGCGGTACTGCGACTCTTACTTCTGCCTCCACGAGCTCGCTCTTCTCATGGAATCGAAGAAAAAAGTGGTTCCGATCTTCTACGACGTGAAGCCGTCCCAGCTTCAGGTCAGAGACAATGGGACTTGTCCGGCGAAAGAGCTTCAGAGGTTCAGATACGCACTTGAAGAAGCCAAATACACTGTTGGATTGACCTTCGACCCAGTCACAGGGTACGTTCGTTGTTCATTGTTCCTCTTTCATTTCGTGAAATTCACTTAAAATTCAACGAGTATTGATTAAATGAGACTTCTTGCGCTGATTCGGATTTTGTTTTTGATGGGTTTTAGGGACTGGTCGGAATTACTGAAGGATGCTTCAGAAGCGGTGATTACCAACTTGCTGGAGGTTGAAGAAGAACGGAAACGACGCCGTTAGGCAACTGTAACTGTGAACATATACAGAACAGAAAAACACATGGCGGTCGAGGAGTGACAAATTAATTAATTAATTAATTAATTACATAAATTAATCAAATTCGTTATTCTTTGGGAATACATGGGATTAAAAACAAACAGAATATCCCTTGTATTCTTTGTACGTAACATTGCTTACTCATTACTTGGCCTAGATTAGCTTAGTTTAATAATTTAGGCCGGAAAATATCAATTTAATTTGTTGTTTAGACTTTCTGTGGATCAAATTCAATTCGTAGAAAGATCTCAGCACATAATGTTACATTGTTGTGCTCTTTTTTCCCCCTTTTTTCCCTATTCAGTTGTATACTGGGGAATATACGTTACATGTACCACATTCAAATTAATTAATGAATTTTGGTTTCATTTACGTTGCATTAGTTTTTATTCAATTTTGTCTCTGGCTTCTTTATAAGATCCTACAGACTATTTATTGAGAAAATGACAAAAAAAAAAGCTGAAAATTACTAAATCCCAATCAGATTTAGTAACAACATTTTATTTGATGTTGACAACATTGAATTTGCAAATAACAATAAAGTTTTGTTGAAATTTCTTATTTAGTATTTAGTAATTTTCAGCTTTTTTTGGGTCATTGTCCCTATATATTTTACATTCTTCTGGTTCATCAATTAGCCTCGACTGTTCATCATTTTGCATGCATTATGTAAATCTCAATATTTTTGCTAAATAGTATTTATTGAATTAGTGACTTAATTATTATTACTGCGACTAATTCAAGTGCTGATGATTATTAGCAATATGAATAATGTTGAAATCAAATCTTTTGGCCGTAAAGCGAATTAACATTAAATTTTAAATTCTAAAAAGTGATGTTCATTTCTATATATAGCTAACTAAAACAAATTAATTCGCCCAGTATTTGTAACCCTTAAGCCGCCAAGATCAGAACATTCTTATATATATATAATCCCCACCCCCAACCCCAAAAAAGATAAAATAAAAGAAAACACACACACGCAGAAGCAACCATCACAGTTTAAGTTATATATATATCCAAGTTTAATTAATATTAATATGATCAAATATGAGAAGTAGCCATGAAAATTTCAGGAATATAATTAGTAGAGAATGCTTAGAAGGAAAACGAAAGAAACTGTTAACAAATTTCCTTGTTCATACACAGCATGAGCCACAAGTGAACAATAATGCCTACCACACCCACAACAAGAAAACGCCATGTCTCTAATCAGTGCTCCTTAGCTTCACCGCAAAGTACGATATTTACACGTAAATTCTGGGTTGCTTCTTATATTTCCACGCACAAACACACACACTCAAATATATATTTATTTATTTATATGATTAAAGTATTAGCTACATGAAATTTGATACCACTGGAATATCTGTGTGTGTGAGAGAGAGAGAGAGAGAGAGAGAGAGAGAGAGATGGATTAAATTTCAAAAGAGAAAATGAAAGGAAGAAGATGATGATAAATGAAGGCATTTATGTCAATATATGGTTAAACCCGCCGAAGAGTGGAAGAAATTATAAATCTGGCAAGTTTTAATGTGTTGGAAATTTCGCGTCTTCCAACGTTAAGCTGAATTAATTAGTTCCAAGGCAATAAAAAATTAAAGCGCAAAAATCAAAATGACGGAGCCTTGTGATACGCAATAGCAAAATCAAAGAGCCAGGAGAGAGAGAGAGAGAGAGAGGAGGGTTGTGATTTATGAAGCACATGAAGTCATGAACAGAAGAATTTCTTTTTCTTTTTTGGCATACGCGCAAACATAAACCGCAGTTCTATACCCACTAATTAAATCATAATGAATAATAATAATAGTGCTTATTTTGTTATGTACGTTTATGGTTGACCATTTCTGCTTGCGAGTCCTGTCGGTTTGTTTCATGCTTCATCCCCCTGACCGACCACACAATACGAAAATACTCTCTAATTTCTCATCTTCTCAAATTCTCTCCTTCAGCTTAATTTCCAATTATGTATGTGAGCGGCCTACCATCAGTTCAATTTGACTTTTTTATATAATATTAGTAATATTTTTGTTTATTTTTTCCCTCAAAACTACTTACTCGTCAACATCAACATCAAATCTAAACTTTATAAAAACTAAATTCTTCATAATTCGTGAATAATATGTCAACAAAAAAAAGAAGGAAATAAAGTGTAAGCATGTATTGTTTGTACATATATATATTAGTATATATTGTGCATGTATATATGTATGTATCGAATATAAAGATATATGTTCTATATATGCTGTTGAGAAAAATAATGTATCGCCTCCGGTCCTAATTATAAGACCTCATTTATAGACTACAAATGAAGTCTTATAATTAAAATTGGAGGTAACATTTTTATTTATTTTTAAACACTGTGTCTCTATCAATGCAGATACGATTCAAAATCGCATATACATATCAATAATTTATAAATTGATGAATTGTCTAACACCTGACAAAATACATTTTCTTTTCTAGTGAACATAATTTCCAATAGGTTTTATTATATATATTGGTTTGTTGTGAAAATGACAAGCTAGGTCTTATATTTAGGAATGAAGGTAGGATATGTTAATTACCAATAATCATACCTGCCTTTTCTTTTTTAAATTTTATGAATTAATTAACTGGACCTTTATTTGGAGGAACAGAAGAGGCCACTCATTATTAATGAATTTATTGGAAACTTCTTCTAGTCTTTGTTAGTTAAGGCCCTATTGCTCTTGTTTACTTTGTTTCCAATTCCAAATGGACTAATTAAGATCTTGAATTCAATCAAAACCCTTGGATCTTTTTATGATTGCTTTGTAGAACAAATCTTTCGTTACCAAAGAGACAAAGTTGTCCCACTATGTTCCCTCCTCGGGCCCACATGCATCCTCGACACAATCCTAGATTATATTATTAAGAACTCAGCTTAATCAAACATTTAATAATAATCAATGATGGTGATTAAAGTGAAAGTGGCTTAAGCGCCTCATTCTAGAGTTTATCATCATCATCATCATTATTATTGGTGCTAATTTAAAAAAAACTGCAATAAAAGATTCTTATTGATTGGAAACAAATGCTCCAAAATAATAATTTGAGGATAGATATCATTCACCGTGGATCTCTTCAGGACAAAATTAACTTTTTTTGGTTCACTTTTCTTTCGTAAGAAATAAGTATAATAATCAAATGCTTTTAAGTGTTCAAGGTTTACGCGGACAAGCACGTGCCGCTGCTACTTGATTAATTAGGTTCATGTCCTTGTTTATGCTTTTGATTAGGTTTTAATTCATCGTTTTATCTTCTCACTTTTCAGACTGCCTTTTTTTCCCCGTTGCTTTATTTCACAATCTGTTGCGTTTGCACGTGAATCAAGCCCCAAATGCACTAGAAATTAATTAATTGTGGATTTTAGAGATAATTAAAGTCCAGTTTTGCCCTTGAAATATTTTTGAGATTTATTGGGCACCTTAATGGTGATTAAGGGGTGGCGACAATTAACAAGCGTTCAATGATCAGATTACACGTTTATTTCTTGATATGTATTGTTATTGAACGCCAATGACCTTTTTTTTAAAAAATTATAACGCCAATTACCTTAAAATTTGGAATATGACATGTAACTTAGGAATAAAATGAAAATTCAAATAAAGACAACTAAATACGCACCGAGAAAGTTTTAACAAAAAGAATAAGAAATGCATATTGTCGATTTTGTAACGATCTACCTCTTTGTTTTGGCACCACTATGCTTCCTATTATTTCATTATTTGTGGTTTATAGAAACTTCTCACATATCAAGAAGAGGTAAGAATATTAAATAGCTAAAATCTTAAAAATTTGCCCTCATAAAAAAGAGTATTAAATACTCGTATTATTTTTTTTCACTCGTTCTTCACCTGTACTATAATTAATAGGAACAGTATTACAAATGAAGCATTAAAAATGACCAAAATCTTTCTTTACAAGTATCAAAATAATAAGAACCGGAGTGGTATATTTCACAATAAATGTTTGTTATATGTGTGTAGTATATACTCTTACGATCCTTAATATAAAATTTAATTAAGTAATTTGATTAAATTAAGCATGTTAGTTAAATTAGTTAATATGATATATTTTTTCTGAAACACTCTAAGTATCTTTCTTAATTTCTTTTCTTCTTCTCTTACCTGATTGACGGCAGACCTTGGAAAGTTTTAGAATAAGAAGGAATTCGCAATTGTTTAGAAAATATCAATAAGATTAATTTGAAAAAAAAATTAATAGATATTTAAAATAGATATTATATATAGGACTAATATCAGCTCTTTAATTAGATTTAATATTAAGGATTGGAGGAGTATATATAAAATAAAGCGCAAGTCTTTTACTAAAATATAGACTAATCAGAACTAACAAGATCTTTCGCATACTGTTCTTCCCTTGCGAATCAGTCAAAACTGACCAAATGAAATCGGCTGATGAGAGAGACGCATTTTTCAAAACCAATATTTGGGCTTTTATGATTTATATGTATATGTCTTAATTAATTATAATTCCTTTCAACGTTATTTCATGCGCATATGCTTGGATGTTACTTGTAATATTCTTGATACATTAATTAGTCCTTTTTCTTTTTAAATTTCATGGTCTTCATGACAATCCAGTCTATCTCATGTTCAAGCTTCAAACTTGACCCCTCTCTATGGCCATATATATAAATATATGTATGGGTATACGAATTTTGATTCAATATTCAAAGTTATGTTCCTGTATGTACGTAGCTTGGCATTCAAATGTTAGGTGAAACTCCCAGAAATTTTATTTTATTTTTTTATTTTTGTATATATGCGTAATAAAAATAATTCTATAACAGCAGAGCAGGCAAAAATGGACTGTATATATGTGGCTGTTAAATAATTCAATAATTCTTACTACAGAGGACTTGTCAGCACAAAGTGCGAATTTTGAAATTAAATTAAAGCATGTCGAAGTGTCTCACAAGTTCAGAGAATTCATAATTAATGCATTAGTCCATCTAACTAATTTCAAGAGTTTACTATTAATAATATATAACACGCTGTTATTAATAGAATTGACTGTAATGTAAGTAATTAAGAAGGTTTCAAAGTTTACAACAGCAGAGAACTTTATTTTCAGGCATTTCATGCTTCTTTATGATTTGATGTATGCTTAACGGCCTACACATGTGAAACCATTTTTGTTTGTTCAGATGTTTTCAAAATTTATTGCATTTAAGAACCCTAAATTCTAAATATTTGTATTTAAAGATTTTAAATTCAAAAATTCAAAAATATTATATTCAAATGATTTTTTTGGCCAGAATATTGAGATGATCTGATAATTATAAATTTTTTAATTTTTGTATCCTGATGACAGGATTTTGCTTAGAAATTTCATATAAATTAAAAGTCATTACATTAAATCAGCTCTCAAATGTAATTTTCTCTCATGTTTCTCAACATCTCAATTCTTTAATATATGCGTAACGGATTACGTATGTGATGATTGAGAGAAATTTTTTCAAAGCAGTTATAAGGATTTAAATCTTGGGTCATTTTAAAAAATTTTCATATAAATGTCATTTAATTAGCCCGTCAAATGTATAAGTTTCTCTCATGTTCTAAGGCTTCATTGAATGTGCTGAAATATATGTTTCATGGTGGGGCTTGCAAAATAAAGACTCAGTCATTGATTTCAAGAAGTGCATTATCTTGGTCTCTCACTAACCATCAATCTCCACTATACGAACATGATGGAAGATTCCAGACAAAAATATTCAGTAAATTAAAATTTTCGCATTTTGCAAATTTTCATTAAAAATTGCTACAAAATTAAATAAAAAACAGAAGTAGGCTAGAATATGTTTTTATTTCTTATTTTTCAGAGATAACAGTATTTTTCATAACTTTGAAGATTAAATTCATTTTGATCAATTAACTATACCATGGGCACTTGTTTATTTGTCCAAAAGAAAAACAAAATAGTCCGGACAATTTGATTTAGGCTTGTTTGAGCCATTTTGATAATTACTTACAAATAATTATATAAGTCGAGATAAAACTCACATCACATATTTATTTTATATTTCGTAAATCATGATTGAAAAATTATTTTTGAAAGATCCAATTGTTATTTCAAATAAACCCTTCATATATATATATATAATATACTACCTCCGGTCCTAATTATAAGAGCTAGTTGACTAATTTGAGGAGATTAAGCAAGTAAATTAAGTTAGTTATTTGTCCTAAATAGGTGTTGCCTTTCCTAAAATATCCTTGCTAATCAAGTGTATTGACTAGAACTATCATTGTTAGAAGGGTTACTTTAGAAAAAAAAGGTATAAATATAAGAGAAAAAATAGATTGGAGTCTTATATTTAGGACCAAAATAATAGTTAAACAGGATCTTATATTAAGAACCGGAAGTAGTATAAAGTATGTGTCTTTATAGAATAAAATCCCATACTAATTCTAATGAGAGAGAGAGAGAGAGAGAGAGACCAGGGATACTAACCCGCGGCGGAAGACCCTGTAAACGGTATTCGAAGTTAGAGTGTTAGACGACTCTGTTTGATTTGGTAAAGGCCCAATTCTGGCCCAAACCGTGTTTTTTTCCTTTTTGGTTTTTAGTTTCCATTCTCCTATTCCTTACGATGACCAAAACAAAACAAAAAACACGCCACAAAAGAAGCCTGGACTCCTTTGACCAATCAAAAGTTGTCAACAAGCAAATCTCTGTTGGTCTCTCCAATATATTTGACCTTTTGACTTCAACCTGGAAAATTTATGCCCCCTTATTATAATACTTCAAAATTTAACCCTTTGTTTTAAAAAAATAATTCTCTGTTTCTTTTAAAAAAATAATTCTCTGTTTCATCTTTATGGATTTGCAAGAAACAAAGCATGCAGCATGATTATAATCCGCTGACTCATCAGATCCCACAGTGAAAAAGACTGATTTTGTTGTTTTTCTATCTTTCCCTCGTGACTCATGAAACATAAATATATTCTCAGAAAAATGTCGAATAAAATAATTTAAAATAATAAATATTCCATTATCTTCTGTTCAGAAACAATAAAAATAAACACTACTAATTATTAGGAACAATGAATTTGCAAGTCCCTATATCTTTCACCTTATTTTTAATTAGCTTTTTTTTTAATAGTTTTCCCCCTTTTTAATCAGGTTTTTATAATTTCACCTGATTTTTAATTAGATCCTTTTTTTTTTAATCATGTTCTCATAGTTTCACCCGAAGTTCAATCAGGCTATGGAGTAATCTAATTAAATGCAGATTAATTTTTTAATGAAGAGGGGAAAAATTCTTTCTTCATCACACTTTACGAGGAGAAGTGTAGCTGATCTGACTTGCTCAAATTTCCCCTCTCCAATCTAACAAGTAAGATCATTATCATCCACAGAGTTTCAGAAAACTGGTTTCGAAATTCGAACTCACCGTGATGCCAATACAAACAGAGCCAAGAAACAGTGGAAGTCCAAAATAAGCCAAGAAACAGTGAAAGTCCAAAATAATAAGAGTACCTATGTAGCGAAAGGAATGAGAATTATACATTACAAGTTTGTTACTTTGAATCATATATTCAAATCCATTCTTAAAATATCTGATATATACAGAACGAACAATAAGGCACTGCCCTGTCATGTCATGCTAACTAGTAATATTCGATTAATGCCCATATTGGAATGCCTTTTAACCTCTAAAAATGATGATCAACGGTGACTCATTTCCAAGATTCTGAAGCATGAATTAGTAATCAAGCTAAGTATATTGAGGGTTTTCTTTTTTGACTTTTTCCCTTGCTCTCTTGAAAGTATGAGACTTGAGGGCCTCTTCAATGCAGACCACAACTTCTAATATTGGAAAGATACGAAGAAGTAGGAAATCGTCAATAAATGAAATATCCTTTTTCTTGCTCTGCTTTGGCACCATGCTTGGAACCAAGTGAAGCTAGCGCATAAAAGAGCTTGTGAAACTTGATATCAATATGGTCATGTAGCAAGATCCTAACACTCTGCAATATAGTTACAGGAAATGGCTTGTGAGATACTGAACTCTGAATCCCAGAAAATGCAGTCACAAAAAAACAATACTGAGGAAAATATATATGAAAGTTAACCAACCGGTTACTCTCAAGAGGTAGACTCCAAGAAAGTGTCACCAGTGGAAGCATAACCTGCAACGGAAAACCCTTCTCAAAACAAGTGAAGCAAAATATGGGTTACGTTCATCAGAATGATGTCTTCTACCCTCATCTAACAGTCAGTGAGACCCTTGTTTTTACCGTTCTTCTTAGCTTGCCGAATAACCTCTCCAAAGAAGAAAAAGACTCACATGTTGAGGCCATTATGGAAGAGCTTGACCTGACCCATTTTAAGGACACTATAATGGGAGGGCCATCTTTAAGAGTTGTTTCAGGCGGAGAAAGGAAGAGGGTACGTATAGCTCAAGAGCTTTTGACTAACCCAAGTCTGTTACTGGTTGATGAGCCTACTTCAGGTCTTGACTCAACTACAGCCAAAAAGATAGTGTTATCACTGTGTGAGTTAGCAAAAGGTGGAAGGACCATCGTCCTGACTATCCACCAACCTTCTAGCAAGCTATTTTACATGTTTCAGAAGGTTTTGCTGTTATCTGATGGTTATAGCCTTTACTTTGGGAAGAGAGAACATGTGATGGATTACTTCTCCAACATTGGATATGTAGCCATGAATCCTTCGAATTTCATACTTGATCTAGCAAATGATAAGTATATTTCAAATTTTTAACCATGGAAGGATGTTTTCTTTCTTCAACTAGATTTAGTCTACAATGACAGATATCCAAGTCAATCATGAATATACATGTAAACTTGATAGAGATAGGTTTTACTGAAGTGGACTACTTGGGGAAATGAACATTGAAATTAAGCTTAACCTTTGCTGGTTCAAGAATTTTGCATTAAGAGGAAGCTTCTGAGTAATTTGAGGCCATCTAAGATTATTATCTATAACTTCCAAGGTATATCTTGGGGGTATCATAACGAGGATACAAGAGGTGTAAAACAAGCATTGTTATCAGCTTAACCTTAGCCACCAAGTGAAGATGGAACTTCGAGAGAGTTCAATAGATAATAGATATAGCCAATGGTGCACAGCTTTGTGGCAGCAGTTCACTGTGTTACTAGTAAGAGGATTCAAGGAAAGAAGGCATGAGTCCTTTTCAGTCCTCAAAATCTGCCAAATCTTGGCCATTTCTCTAGTTTCAGGCCTTCTTTGGTGTGACTCCAGATTTCATAAATGCGAGATCAGGTATTCTGATGCAACCCCTTTCCATTTCCATATTGCACACCACAACATTTTTGTCTTCTAACAACATCTAGAAACTATAGCCAAAGAGTCAAAAACTCTGGGTGCCTGTTACTTGTTCTGTATGGCAATACAATTTTTAGGTCGTCTACGTAATATTGAATCAGTAAAGTAGTTTGGCATATTAACTCTGTTCTTGTGCAGGTCTCACTGCTATTCTTTTATATCCAGTTCTGTGGATTCTACCCCATGGCTCATTTCATCTTTACTTTTCCTCGTGATCATGATATGCTAATAAAGGAAAGGTCTTCACGCATGTACAGACTCTCATCTTACTTCATGGCTTTCAATATCGTGGACCTTCCAATGTAGCTATCCCTCCCAGGAACTTTTGTTACTATCACTTATTGGATGGGAGGGCTAAAAGTGAATGCCATGATCATCTTCCACACTCTAACTGTGCCTCTTCTCTATGTATTGGTAGCATAAGGTCTTGGACTAGCCATGGGTTCACTGGTTTATAATGAGAGGGCTGCTGCAACAGTTGGGATGACCCTATTTGTTCGCGCCAGTGGCTTCTATGTTCAGAACATACCTTTGATTTTTGTTTGGATAAAGAACAAATTTCAAGCTCTTACTAGGGTCACCAGTCAAGAATAGTGGAACTTACCCTTGCGGAGGACCTGGTGATGATGTGACCTCTTTAGTTGGAAGCAATCTGTGATTAAGCATGCAGGTCTCTGGATAAGCAAGGTCTTTGTATTGTGATCTCAACTACTCTTTCTTCCTTGTTCTATAGCAAGAAGTGAGTCCAGAAGTTTTGGTGTTGGATTCCCAGAAAAACTCAGATTAAATGATGAAGAGGATTCAAGAAGTAATTAATTGGTATCCGCAGATTAAAAAAGCTGTACGGTTCTATCTCTAAATATTACAGGCCAGTGAGTAGTGAAACTATATTACGAAACTCTCCCCAGTACCATGGTGACAGATTTGAGTGTGGTGACTGAAGATGTGAGAGAAACTGATTTTCGTTAACTCTTTAAAGGAATTTCTTCTGAACAACGGAACAAGCAATATTCAGATGTCAAACTGAGGCATTTATACAGGGTGAAGTAAACTAATATACGTAGTTCAACCCCTTCTTGTTGATTCTTTTAAGAGTTCTCGCTTGCACAACTCAGCATGTATATATACTATTTCCGTTACTTAACATAAGAACTAGTTTGACTTTTAATTTAGTTTTAAATATAAGACCCCAATTCATTTTGTCTTTTTATATTTATTCATTTTTCTCAAGGTAATCATTGTAGTAGTTGCACATGTTAAATATTTCCCGTTAACACATATGATTAATAAAGATATTTTAGAAAAGATAATACTTATTTATTACAATTAACTAACTTAGAACAAGGCTTTTTTCGAATAAACCAATTCATTTGGACCCTGCGGATCCACTCTTTTTCCTATTCAAATATCAGCCTTTTGTCTCAGGAAGAGGATTGTAACATGAGAGAAGTAAGGAGGTCAACCTCTTTCAAATATACAACATAGATTCTGGCAATGCAATGTGGTTAGACTCTCATGTCGATCCGAATGAATCATCCTTTCCACGGAGGTAAATCTTTGCCTGTTAGGCAAGAGGATAGCAAGTTACTAATTTTTTTAATATATTCAAATTAGTCAATTAGCTTTTATATTAAAGACAAAAGGTAGTATAATATATATATATATATATATATATAGTGACAGATAAGAGCTTGCCCATTATCAGTTAAAATTTAGAAGGGCCTTTGAATATATACAGAAAATGATGAAAGACACATGTTAGATCGGTTTGAAATATAATAAATTTTGTCAAAGACAAGTATCACTCTTTTTCAAAGTAGGCATTTAGCCTAATTTCGTCTTGTCATTAAGGCTATATATGCTTGCATAACACATGGTCCTCCACGGAGTTTTCTGTCAACAATCACAATAAGTCTCTCCCAGGTAATATTAATATATCATTTAAAGCTAATAATATATACATCTCGGTTCTTTCTAGCATTAGTATCAGAATATATGAATTTAATAATTCAAAGGACGCCAATAATATATATAAGAAGCTAGTATTTGTATCCCTAATAAGTTCCATCAACATGTGGCCAATGATGCGTTAACGTCACCGCTTAAAAGAGATTTGGTAGGAGGCTAAGTTAATAAGAAATGTCATATATAACTTGAGTGCAAAACCAATTTGTACATCTACATAATACATTATTGAAAAAATAACATATGGCCTCTCCTTTTAGTATTTTGTTGATTGTGATGGGAGTAATTAATAATATTGGAAAAATTATATTTATAATCCCAATGATGTCACACAATTTGAATCAAAAGATTTAAAATATAAGACCAATTTAATGTTTAATTTTGTAAGAATTTCAGGGAAATTATTAAAAATTTTAAAATATCTGGGTGTTATCTCTGATGAGATTATTCCTCCTTACAACTAATTATGATTTAATATATAATTAAAGGTTTTTATGGGATTTTCTATATTTTATGTTATATATATAGATGTCAAAACTATTTGCAATACTATTGGGTTTAAGCATGTGAGTATGGTGAGATAAGAGATGGCTTATATGACTCATTGGAATTTATATGTCAAACTAACAAAAATTAAGGTTATGCCAAATATGAATAGCTCTTCTAATTCGTCCACATCCTTGCAGAGAAAATTAGAGAGAAAAAAAACGTTGGAGAATCTGATATGATATATCATTTTATTCAACAAATGAAGAAAAAGGAAAATGATGTATCAATAATATTATTGCGGGATGAGGAGTATCCGATAACTTTGTATGCCAAGGAATTGTTCTCTCTTTTTGGTTAAATTACAAGAGAGATTGAGATCCACTTGGAAAAGTACTGGAATTCAGGACTATAATTACATTTTCAAAAAATGCATAATGTTGACAAGCGCCAAAAAAAAATGTAACCTCACATGTTTTCTATACCATTTTTTAACAATAAATTTAATTAAAAAAATTTTGTTGAGCCCAAAGTATCCATCAATGGTAACAGTAACTAATCTTCTCACACTATAGATTTCTTCAAGGAGCTTTAGTGCTAGAACTTAAGGGTTTATGATGATCAACATTTCAACATTAACTCCCTAATTAATCAGCAACACAGTTTTTTTATATAATATTCATTTCAGAACCTCCACTAATAAGTTTGTAATCATAATATGAAAATTGTGTTGATTTGTATTCATCTAAATACAGAAAACAAAAGAAAAGAAGAAGAAGAAGAAGGGTTGAATTAATATTATACCATATATATATATATATACACGGATATAAAAGTTAATCAGATGAGATATTACTTTGATGGCAGAGTGGTTGGGCACTGATTCGAGATTAAACCCAAGTGGTGGCGGTAATTGCATTTCTCTACAAAGTAATCCTCTCAACTTTTGTTTCTCATTCTATTTCCGGAGAAAAAATAATTAATTGCTAATTAATTAGGCTTCTTCAATTAGCATATCGGCGTTAAAAATATCATGAAATTATTGTTGATAATACACACGCGCATATACACTTAACTTTAGTATTTTTTTCCTTAACAAAATAATGTAGATCATTGAGATTAAAGCACATGGATTACGCGTTAATATTATCTGGACAACTAAACAAGAAAGATTATCACCCAACTCTTAGTTTGGCACTTGGGGTTATGTCCACTTAATTTTCATGAGTCATACCAGTCAAATTAAATCCAAACACTTACCATTTAACGTGGACAATTGGTTACAAAGGCACTGAGTACAACATACATCTTCAAGTAGTATTTTACCTCAACTTTTCCTGAATTTAATTAACAGTATATGTATATTTATTTCCTGTTTCATGTCCAAGCACTAAGAAATCAGATTTACAATCATTAATTATTTGATGGGAAAAAAAAAGAGTTGAGGCTAGAGAAGTTTTATTAATAGTTACTGAAACACACTAACAATTTAATCAGTTTTTGTCTCTTAATTAGGGAAATGGATTTACAGAAAAGAATTATATATGCGATGAAAATTTTCACATAATCTTATTCTACTCCATGAAAATTATCCATATATGTATAATGACTCGTTAAGAACAAATTGTGTCATATATCCATTACTTCCGATTCTAATGCATAATGTTGACAAGCCAAACAAATGTAACGTAACCTCACATGTTTTCTATACCATTTTTTAACAATAAATTTAATAAAAAAAATTTTGTTGAGGCCCGATGGTAACAGTAACTAATCCTCTGGCACTGTAGATTTCTTCAAGTAGCTTTAGTGCTAAAGCTTAAGGGTTTATGACGATCAACAATTCAACATTAACTCCCTAATTAATCAACAACACAGTTTTTTTTATATAATATTCATTTCAGAACCTCCATTAATAAGTTTGTAATCATAATATGAAAGTTGTGTTGATTTGTATTCATCTAAATACAGAAAACAAAACAAGAAGAAGAAGAAGAAAGGTTGAATTAATATCATACCATATGAATATAAAAGTTAATAAGATGAGATATTACATTGATGGCAGAGTGGTTGGGCACCAATTCGAGATTAAACCCAAGTGGTGGCGCTACTTGCATTTCTCTACAAAGTAATCCTCTCAACTTGTGTTTCTCATTCTATTTCCGAAGAAAAAAATAATTAATTGCTAATTAATTAGGCTTCTTCAATTAGCATATCCGCTTTAAAAATATCATGAAATTATTGTTGATAATACACACGCGCACATACACTTAAATTTAAGTATTTTTTTCTTAACAAAATAATGCAGATCATTGAGATTAAGGCACATGGATTACGCGTTAATATTATCTGGACAACTAAACAACAAAGATTATCACCCAACTCTTAGTTTAGTTTGGCACTTGGGGTTATGTCCACTTAATTTGCATTCAATATATTTTTTTCATGAGTCATACTAGTCAAATTAAATCCAAACACTTACCGCTTCCGGTTCTTAATATAAAACTTTATTTGACTTTTATTTGATCCTAAATATAAGACCCCAATCTACTTTGTCTCTAATATTTATACATTTTTTCTAAGGTAGTCCTTCTAATAATAATAGTTATAGCCAACACATTTGGTTATCAAGGATATTTTAGGAAAGACAACATCTATTTATTACAAATAACTAACTTAACTTATTTTTTAATCTCCTTAAATTGGTCAACTAGTTTTTATAATTAGGACCGGATGTAGTACCATTTAACGTGGACAATTGGTTACAAAGGCACTGAGTATAACATACATCTTCAAGTAGTATTTCACCTAAACTTTTCCTGAATTTAATTACATGTATATTTATTTCCTGTTTCACGTCCAAGTACTAGGAAATCAGATTTACAATCATTAATTATTTGAGAAAAAAAGAAAAGAGCTAAGGGCCTGTTTGGGTGACTCCCAAAACCATGGTTTGGGTGGAATGTCACCCAAACTGCATCAATTTTGATGCCATAATCTGAAACCATGGTTTGGGCCAAAACCATGGTTTTCAGGAGAAGTGAATCCATTCTGCTTCTGGCTCAAATTGGAGAGTATGATTGTGCCTGTCAGAGTAAATTTTAACAATAATATGACTTTAACATCTCTCAATTAATTTTTTATAAACATATTAATCTTATATCTTGTAAATATATATACACATATTAATTATTCATTAATTATATTATCTTATGTATTATTAATTATGTTAGTAAAAAATATATTATTAACATTTTATTCTTCAAATTAAAATATATCATAAAATCTATCTTTTATGTAATTATCATATTAACTTATGTCTTTTTTAGTAATTTGTATATATAAAAAGTGCTTCTGATAACAACTATCCAAACACTCTCACTTTTCATAATTACTTTTTTACAACATCTATTCTTCACAGAATCTATTCTCCCCATAATCTATTATCCAGAAGTTATTCTCCAAATCATGGTTTGGTTTCATCCAAACATCCCCTTAATTAGTTTTTGTCTCTTAATTAGGGAAATGAATTTACAGAAGAGAATTATATATGCGATGAAAATTTTCACATAATCTTATTCTACTCCATGAAAATTATCCATATATGTATAATGACTCGTTAAGAACAAATTGTGTCATATATCCATTACTTCCAATTTTAAATATAAGATTTAATTTGTAGTGTAAATTGTATTATGTCTATAGTGGGTGTATGTATATAAATAGAATTTGATGTGACATTTTGATAAATCTCAACTGTATTATGAATTGTAAGTGCAAATACAAGTTCTCATTGTTGGAAGACTCTCTAGACACGTCACGTTATTATCCTTAAATCATCAAGTTGACACTTAATTAATAATGTAATGTATGAAAGATACACACACATATATGAAATAAAAGGATACTAAAATTCTGATTTTTATCAACTGAACATAAATGCACGCTCTTGAATTGATTCATTAATTTGACGAAACAAAGACAAGAAAAGGAACCAAAGTAATAAAAAGGCTGATAATTATTCACCCATTATACTCCTCCGGTCCTAATTATAAGACCCAATTGACTTATTTGAGGATATTAAGGAAGTAAGTTAAGTTGGTTATTTATAATAAATAAGTGTTGTCATTCCTAAAATATCCTTGCTAATTAAGTATATTGGCTAAAACTATCATTACTAGAAGGATTATCTTGGAAAAAAATGTATAATATAAGAGACAAAATGGATTAGGGTCTTATAATTAGGACCAAATAAAAAGTTAAAAAGGGTCTTATAATAAGGACCGGAGGAGTATATATTTATATATATGTATATCATCGTACTCATCAAAATATGATAGTGAAACCTTACATCATCCACCCGCCATATATATCCTTCAATTAGTTTCTTGCCCTCTAATCATCCACGTCCTTCCAGACAAATAATATAGGCCCCGCAAGTTTTGACTTTTGCAAATCAAGCCAAATAACGCGCACGTGCCGTCCATCTTCCCTCTTTTTAATTAGGGAAAATTTCACTGTAGGACCGCAGAAGACAATTAATTTCAAAGAGCCTCCAAAACTTTCTGAAACTTCACTGCAGGACCAAGGGGGCAAACTGATATTAATTCCACAAAGAAAATGACGCTATTGCCCCTCATAATACTTATTGCAGGGTGACATGTAAATGGACTAATTTCAATTGTAAATAAAGGTATGTATCCTGCAAATTGACTAGTTCCACTTGCAAATGGGCTTTCTCACACTTATTCACTCACAGGCACCTTTTTCAGGTGAATGAGGTGATATGTAAATGGACTAATTCTAATTGTAAATAAATGTATGTATGTTACAAATTGACTAATTCCACTTGCAAATGGGTGTTCCCACACTTGTTCACTCACGGAGACCTTTTTTAGGTGAAGGAAGTGACATGTAAATGGATTAATTCCAGTTGTAAATAAATATATGTATGTTGCAAATTGTCTAATCCCACTTGCAAATGGGCTGTCCTACACTTGTTCACCCAGAAACATTTTTCAGGTGAAGAAGGTAATATGTAAATGGACTAATTTTAATTGTAAATATATCTATGCATGTTGTAAATTATCTAACCTCACTTGCAAATGGGTTCTCCTATACTTGTTCACATGAGGGGCAATATGGTCATTTTCTTTGTGGAATTAACATCAGTTTGCCCCCTTGGTCCTGTAGTGAAATTTCAGAAAGTTTTAGGGACTCTTTAAAATTAATTATCTTCTGCGGTCCTTCAGTAAAATTTTCCCTTTTAATTAATTTTGTTTGTTCGAAGTCTTACTGTTACATTTTAGTGATTATATTACCTATGGTGTGAGACAAAATAGTAATTTTCTCGTTTCTATGCACCCTCTTAAGTAAATTAATTCAGGAAATAAGGATCAGGGTCATCATATTTATATAATGATTTCGGTTTCGAGAATCTTATGATTAATGTAATATTTTATTAGTTATCTTTTTTATTTTTTCTTTTTGGAAGCGTTTTTTTGGTTGTTGGATCTATCTTGATTTCGCCGAACTTTTGAGAATGACGTGCAACTCGTGGGAAGTTTTTTTTTTTTTTAAAGAGAGAAAAAAAAAAAAAGTTGTGTGCGCTCTCCGTTTTGTGATGAAAGCGCGTTGTGTGTGAGTCAGGAATGTGTGTGCATGTATGTATGAAAAGCGTGACATCAAAAGCGAAATAGGCAGTTCCCAAATTAAGCTCACAGCCCTCCCACAATCCCAGGGCCCCACTCCATCCTCATTCTTCTTGCGATCCTGTGGTCCCCCTGACGCGTGTCACATGATCCTTCCTCTCTTTCCCACGTGTCACCTTCCGCTGCAGTACATTTATCCCTCCCCCGCCCCCAACCTCCTCTCTCCCTCAACTCTTCCCTTACTCGCACAGGGAGGCTTCGATTTTCAATTCCACAGGTAAGGAAGAGAAATTTTAAAAAAAAAAATTGAGAAAGAAGAGTTTTTGTGTGTGCATGAGAGATTGATTGGATATATAGATTGGTGAAGCTTGGTGGTGGAAGTTATGGATAGCACCGATTCATCTTCAGGGTGTCAGCATCCTCAGCTTCCTCCTGGTTTCCGATTCCATCCCACCGACGAAGAGCTCGTCGTTCACTACCTCAAGCGAAAAGCCGCCTCTGCTCCGCTTCCCGTCGCCATCATTGCCGACGTCGATCTCTACAAGTTCGATCCCTGGGAGCTTCCCGGTAATCTCTTTCACCACACCCCATTTCTTCTTTAATTTCCTTTCCGCTCGTCAATACCCACTCCGTAAATTTTACAGGTAAGGCGGCGTTTGGGGAGCAAGAGTGGTACTTCTTCAGCCCGAGAGATCGGAAGTATCCAAATGGAGCGAGGCCAAACAGGGCAGCCACTTCGGGGTATTGGAAGGCCACCGGAACGGACAAGCCGATATTGTCGTCGGACGGACGAAACCAGAAAGTCGGGGTGAAGAAAGCTCTGGTTTTCTACGGCGGGAAGCCTCCAAAAGGCGTTAAAACCAACTGGATCATGCATGAATATAGGCTCACCGACAACAATTCTTACAGGAATTCTACCCCTAAGCCTCCTCCTCTGCCTTCCGATCCTGCGTCACAATCGACCAAGAAAAACTCCTTAAGGGTACTATAGTTTTATCTCTGAGGGTTACATATATGTGTACGTGTTTGGTCTTCGTTTTTCTGACAAGGATTTGTGATTCTGGAATGTTTCTGGTTTTGTTTTGTAGCTTGACAATTGGGTTTTGTGTCGGATATACAAGAAAAACAACAGTAATATGAATACTAGTCTGCAGAGGCCGCCATTGATGGAGCAGGAGAGGGAGATTTGCATGGAGGCTATGCTTCCCACCATATCAAGTTTATCAATGGTTAATAATACTGCTAACGCCGCTCACCAAATCTCCAACCCTCCATTAGGACTCGAGAATGATGACACCTTGTTCGATGGAATTCTGGGCATCGGCGGCGGCGGCGGCGGTGATCCTCATGATAATCACCACTTGTTGTCGTCAAACTCATCAAAGGCCAATAGTTTCCCTCCTGTGAAACGACCCCTCCCATCGCCGTTTTGGAACGAGACCACGGCTGGGTCTCCGTCAGGGTCGTCTTCGTCAAGCAAGAGATTCCATGGCGATCTTAACAGAACTGGGGTGACTAGTACCACTACCTCAGCTGACGACAACAGTTCCTTCATTTCTCTGCTAAGCCAGCTTCCTCCTCAGAATACGGCGACGTTTCATCACCCAAATGCCCTTCTGGGCTCCGTCGGCGACGGTGTTTTGAGGCCGCAATTTCAACTCCCAAGCCTGAATTGGACCTCATAATAATGTGCTTCCCCTTTAAGGTTGCCGCCATTAATGTTGGTATGTTATTCATGAATAATTAGTTCCTCTTTTCACTGTAACCATAAGAAAAGGAAGAGACGACTCTATATAATATATTAATACACACACATACATACATATATATATATATATATATATATATATATAAAATCTTAAATCCTTGTGCGAGCCCTTTTAATTGGTTGCTGTCTGTGGAAGCAACAATATTGTCAAATTTCATGAAAATGTCAACAGCATGTCTAAAGCAGTATGGGGTTTTGACTATAAATAAATTAGTTGCAGCACAAAATGAAGATGAAACTGAAAGCTCTTTCCTAATTAAAGATCTAAAGTACATGAAATTGGAATCAGATTTGCTTAAATCGTATAGTTTACATAAGTGGGAATCTTTTCATGGCTCTACTTCTACGGAGGCCACCATATCAATTGTCAGAAATGAATATTTCGGCTGTGTGTTTTCGGAACAACACAGATTGTTGCTCTTTTAATCCATTTTACGAATTACAAATTAATTCTGATATTTAAAAATTTTTCGATATTTAACAATGTCAAATAAAAATCGATATTTTTAAAAAGGCCTCATTTAAAACAATATTTCATTAGATTTTAACCCTTTTTTAAGGTTGTAATGGAAGTCTTTTTTTCAAATTTTATTTGAAGTATCTGACAAAGAACTTGACTTTCCTTTTTTTTTTTTAAATATATAAGAAACCATATCGATTCAGCTTCCCTTGAAAAGGCCGAAAATGAAATCATGTTAAAAATCTACTCTCATTTAAAATTCAACAATAATATTCAAATCATCGTAATGATTAATATAGAAAATGATAATTAAAATTTTTAGCCAGCTGGTTAATTAATTAGTTGAAACTAGATGGTCGATGGGTGACGACAAAGATTATTAAAGATGTCAAAACTTTTTATGCGAAGTGGGGGGTATGGTTTAGAAATCAAAATAAAAATGATTAGCAGAAAAGATTTTAGGTGTTGTGAAGAAGGAAAAGGAACGTAATACACACACACACGAGATGAAAAGAATACTATTCCGTCCCTAATTACAAGAACCTTTTGGCTAAATTGTGCTTTTTAAGAAAACAGTTAAAATTAGTTAAAAGCAATCGATATATAACAAATGTAATTTTTTCCCAAATATACCCCTAATAAATGTAAGAGAATAATAATGAGATAAATAAAGAGAGAATGTATGGAGAGAGAATTACATGAGAATTTACTAGGGGTAAAATAGGTAATAATACATTAAATGTTCAGACAAACTCAAAAGAGACCTTATAAAAAGAGACAAATCCATTCAAAAAAAAAAGATCTTATAATTAGGGACAGAGAGAGTAAGGGATTAGTGGGGAATTAATGGCTCAGCTTTGGATGGAATGAGGCATGAGTAGTAATTGGGAATCATAATCAATCCAAGTTTTGATTATAAAAAAATGAATGAATGAAAGCACGTTAGATTTTATAATGAGAAATTTTGTACGATGAGGTTTAATGTATCGCCATCGTATTGGCTCTCAAGAAAGCACCCATGTTGTCGTCGCCTTATCTTCTTCGTTGAAAATTAAGTGCTTCCCTCTTATGTATCGCCGAATTATTGGCTCCCACCAAACCCTCATAACCTTTGCAAATTAGAGGCAATGCCAGCACTAAATATGAGCAATTCTCTCAGTAATGATTCGAGTTTTTATTTGGTTCATCATATTATAAGGGAATAACTCCTTCTGCTAGACCCAGCTTCCATTAGTTATATTCTTTACTTCTAAGACAATTTAGTTTATGTAATGGAAACATCAAATTAATTTATGGACAAGTTTTTAAAATTTATGTTGATGATTGTGACAATTATATGTATTGCTTTTAATGCTTTAATTTTGTGATGAAATTGTCATGGTCATTGTATGAGGGGGAAAAAGCACAAGATGTTTGAACACAGGGAATTATAGCTTTAAAAAAGACATGGTTCTATTTGTTAATTATAATTAACTAATTTATTTAACTTTATTAATCTATACAAATTAATTAAGTAGCTCTTATAGTTAAGGATAAACATGTTTTAATTTTTTTAAAACATTCTAACATAATAAAATAAAATGGACATAAAAGAATAAATTAAACAATTAGGTACGGAACTTGAAAAGACTGAAATTTTAATAGGGAGTCAAATCATATTATTATATTGCAAGTAGAGGCCGTGCTGAGAATGAAACTATGTGCTGAATATAGGACCCATATGAAGTAGTTAATTAGTGAGGCAACAGATGGATTGTATAGAATTATATCGATGATGAAACTAGGGCATAATTAATCAATTACATACATAATCTGGATAAGAACTGAGAGTGAGAGTTCCCACGTAAATAATGGTTTTGCCCAGGCTGACTTACTATGGGACCTTAATTATATATATACGTGTGTGTATGACTCATCATCATTAGGATAGAACTTGACTCAAACCTAATTAATTAGTTAGACTCCTTAGTTGATAAGCACTTAGCCTCCTTTTCCAGAATCAAAACAAACAGCTTTCTAAAAGAGTTGTTTTCATCAACGTTGTCATCTAGAATAACTTCGTCATCACATATATCGATTTTAAATACCACTCCTTGTCATCTTCGTTCGTCCCTTGTACCTGAATAATTATAATAATAATAACAATAAAAATAATAATAATAGTAATAGTAGTAGTAATAATAATAAGTCGGAGAATGAGAGTATGTGTGATTTAATATCTTTTGAGTTATATATGTCTATGCCTATCTCTTTTATAACTTAAATAAAAATAACTTCTAATAGATAATTTTAAAGATTTAGATTTGGATTCTTCTTTAACCTTTATTTATAAATGTTTTATATAATAATTTTACAAGAGAATGACTTAAATCATTGAAAACGCATTATGAATTTGGTCTGATCAGTGGCGATGATTGCAAGAGGTTGCTTTGTTTCAATGCGGTGAGTGATAGCGATTGGCTTATAATTTGGTGCTCAATATTTATAATAGACAAGTTCGTCTTCATTTTCTTAAATTAAATAAAATTTAACATTTTTTATGTTGACAAAAAAATATAATAATACTGATAACGAGCTTTGCGTTATCGTTAATATTTTATAATATCCCACTTTGCAGAAGGCCCCTTTCTCCGTAAATTAGTTTTGTTATATTCATATATTTATACATTCGGGCAAAAAAGACAGAACGATATAGTATTAAATTCGCATTTAATGTTTATATCAATTTTTATTTTCATTTTTTTGGTACATTAATTTTTTGTATATAAAAATAGAGGATGCAAATCACAGATTTTTCATCCTACTCCTCCGGTCCTTAGGATCAAATTCTTAAGTTGGTTTTGGTCCTAAATATAATACTTATTTTTCATATTTATTAATTTTCTCTAAATTACCCCTATGGATACTCTTTCAACTATAATCAAGTAGAAGATGGAGAGGGGTATTAAGAAAGATGATTATGGTGTTTTAAGAAAAATGTGTTATTTTTCTTATAATTAACTAACTTATCTAACTTTCTTAATTTAATCAAATTAGTTAAATAGATCTTATATTAAGGACCGGAGGAGTATTATATATCCCCTTCCTTCTGTTGAAGATTTGAAATCTCTCTCCAACCTGAAGATTTGAAATCTCTCTCCAACCATGGATAGAAGAGAAAATCAGTCCAAAAAGAAAATGGATAGAAGGGAAAAGAACAGAATCAACAGATAACTGGGCGAGGAGTTCACAACAAAATAACGGGCCAGTAGATGACATGGGAATCCCTATCTGGGCCCATATGGGCCTGGGTTGATATGATCCGTATTGTAATGGGCTCCTCCAAATCGAGACCAACAACGAAAAATGTGCGTGTGTCAGCTAGTGTATTGAAAACACGAGAGAGGAGGTTGTTTATATAGCAAAGGGGCTACTTAGTTGATTAGGAAATATCAAAGCAAAGGACATTTAGGGAAAAAAAATTAATCTCTTAGACAGAGAATTTTAATATTAAGGATGATATGGGGAATGTCTTGTAATAAGAATAAGATGTAGTAATTTTTTTCCCCTAATAATACCATTGACACCAATTTTTGTTGAGTGATTATAGTGGAGAGAACGAAGAATTAAAAGAAATTAATAAGATTGGGTTACAACTTATTACATTTAATTAAGGGTATTTTCTCAGAAGAAATGCAAATTGTAAAAACATTAACCAATTTTTTAGCTAATTCTTTTACCTGTAGAAATAGTTGCTTGCTACCCCAACGGGTTTGATTAGGCTGGGCCCAAGAACAAAGAAAACATGAACTACAAAAATAAATTGGTCCCTTCTTTTTGAGCTGAAAATTAGTCCCTTCTAATTGCAAGAGTGAATAGAGCCATTTAATTTGGTGCTAATTAAATACAAGATCAAAATTTACTTTATTTTTAAAATTTATAACTTTTGTCTTAAAGCTCTTCCTATCAATTACAATAATTTACGTATGTTAAAGGATTTTGTTCATTGAAGTGATATATATCTTCCAATACGAACAATAGAAAGACGTATTTTAAAAAAATCAACACATTGTTTTACAAATAACTAATTAATTTTTTTAATTAATCCCTGTAAATTATACTCCTGCATCTAGAATTGAATAGAATAAATAATGAATAGATATGAAACATAGTGGCGCCAAGCTAGGCTGTGAGTACGGCATATTGGCTTGCTTAAGGTTTGCAAATGTCCCTCATTTTTCATTTCTCAATCTCTGCCCATATTTTCTTAATAATCTATATAAATAAAACTGATTCAGATTAATATAATTTTTGGTCTTCAAATCTATCTTAATTTTGGATTCGGTCTCTCAAATTTCAAATAATAGGTTCTGATCCTCAAAAAACAAAATGGTTAAAATTTTTATTAAATTATATAGATGAATGTTCTAAATAAAAAGAAATTTGAGAGATCAAAACTAAAATAAAAACAAATTTGAGAGACCAAAAATTATATTTATTATTTATGAATTATAAAACCTAGTAGTTGATAAGTCATATAGACGGAAGTGCGCAAGTTTCAAAATCTTTTGTCGCTTACGATGTTTGCGTCTCATTTCACCGTGCTAA